ATATATTTTTGACTATCTCAAGATTTTATAAATTGTATAAAGCTTATTAAAGATCATAAAGATTATAATTTTATTAAATAAATTTCACAAGTTTTGAATTTAATCAAACCAGAAAATATTTATAGTTTTCAGTTTATTAAGTTTTTATATAATTTCTTGTAATCTAAAATTACAAGTTTTTTTTTTATACTTTTTTTTTATACTTTTTCTATTGTTATTTGTGTTTTTGAGATTAATTATTTTTTTATATTGAAGTTTTATATTGTATATCTAAGAATTAAAATTATAAAAAAGTATATTTTGAATAATATAAAATTATAAAAAAATATAATTACTATTTGTAATTTTTGTAAAGTCTTAATTATTGAAATCGATTATATTGTTAACAATAAGAGATATATTCCATATATAATTAATTCTATTTGAACTTTGATAGTTTTTTCAAATGTATATTATATTGTTACTTTTTTATAATTTGTAAAAATTAATAAGATTTAAATTTAGAAAGTAGCAAAAAAAGTTTATTTGTAAATTATATAAAGAGAAAAGGCTATAGTTATTGAACAAGATATTTTTGTAATTGAGTCTTGAATTTATTATTATATTAAAATCTTCTATAACTATAATTTAATAATATTATTATTATTACTATTTTTTGATAAGCATTAAATACAAAAGGTTTTTATTAAACTTTCATTTATTATTAATATATTAAGAATCTTTACAAAATAAGTTAATTCTAGCCTATCAAAAAAATAAAAGTTGACATATATAAACTTTTGAAAACTCAAATAGGAAAAAAGAAAAAAAAAAGTAGCTATTAGTTAAATTATTGACCATGTATATGTGCTAGTAGTGATAAGATATAATATTTGGATTTTGAATTATAGCCTGTACCTGTGAAACCATATGGCTAGAGAAAATGTAAATAAGGGTCATCAGTCTTGTCCATATTGGTGATCTAGATATCAATTATAATATAATTAATTTGTATTGATTGTTTAATAAAGTAAGCTGTTTATGATTTTTTGTTTTGAAAATTTGAAAGCTGAATAAAACAAAAAAGCAATTCCATAATTATTCTTCTTGAATAATAATGAAGCAATAATTTTGTTAAGTATCCAAAATAGAATTACTAATAATTGTATGTTTCTAACATACTAGTTAGAAATTTAAATTCTTAACAAAGCAAATTCTTATGCAATCAGTACTGCCAATTAAATTGTCATCTTTAATAATCTTTTCTTTCTATTTATACTCTAATTTTCCAATCAAAGAAATGCTACCTTGGTCTTTTTTAAATTAAGCTTTTTAAGACAAGAGAAAAAATCTTGATAAGAAGTTTACATTTTTCGTTTAGGAAGTTTTTAGCTTGAATAATGTTAATAGCTTAATAGAAATAGAATAATAACAAATCAGGAAATTGATAAAATAAATCTAAAAAAAAAATTTAAAAAGAAAACTTTTAAAGAAAAGAGAAAAACTGTTTATTAACAAAAAAAAAGATTTGAGGAAGGAGAGAAAGAAAAAAAAAGTAAAAAAGAATTGTTCTTAAGTCTATAATTATCAAACATATACAAAGCTTCACAAGAAAAAAGTTGACTCTACTTATAAAGTTTTTCTTATTTTTGATTCGGATTACTATTATATATTACTTATACTTTTCTAGGCAGGAATGCTTTTTCAGATATGCCAGCCAGTACTACATATATATATGTTTCTTAAAGAATAATACCTAATAGTTAGAAGAGTCTTATATAGTATTAGCATATTTTAGACTCCTCTTGTTATAAGATTTCATTTTGATAAAAGAAAAGAAATGAAGAAATGAAGAAAGAAAATTTTTAAAAATAAAGTTTTCTAATAAAATAGAAGTAAATTGAAAAGAGTTTTTTGACTATACAGTAGACCTTAATAAATTAATTTATTATATTTTAGACAAAATTATTAACTTATCAAGGTCTTATTATATTGAGATTTCTATTTTTAGATTGAATTTTATACAATATATAAAATTATAAAAAATCATTAAAGTAAATTTAAAATACTGTATATAAAATAATTGATTTTATTAAAGAAATTCAATTAATAAAGTTTGTTTTCGACTTTCTCACTCTTTATTTTTTATTTATTTTTTTTTTTAAGGTGCACCAGCAATAATTGTTTGGTTGAGTATTTATTCAATAACAATGTTTACATATATCTTTCGACATTACTATTTAGGACTATACTATAACATATTGGTTGTTAACTATACCTAACACTTATCGGGATTACTCCAAATAATGACATTTGCTATAGCTTGTTTTTAACTATATTAGATATAGAGGTTAATCTACTAGACAAAGATAATTCTTTGTTGAACCAGTAGTGTGCATTTTTACTAGTAATTAGACAGCTTTATTTCTAACTAGGAGAAATTAAGGGAAAGTTGGAAAGGGGCACTAGAGATAATATCTATGGTGAATAAAGCTACATAATTACTGCTTGCTTCATTGGGGATAAATCCTTTTATCACCACCTGCAGCTGAGCTAACCATTTAATTTCTTACCTGTTCAATGATACCTAAGAACATTCAAGGTACTTATAACTGGTGCTTATCACCTGAATATTGACTTACACATTGTAGGAAACAGGACTTATAGCCAGAAGCCTTCTCAGGATAAGTACCACCAGACCGGTTTATTACTGAATTGGGATGAGACTAGGGCAGGGATCTATATGAAAGACACTGGATATTAGGGGAAGAATTATCAAACCTGTTCATCGAAAGTGGACACCTCATACACCTTACAACTTCTAGCAATCATTGTAACACCAACCAGACGATCGTTGTGCCACAACATCTTTTCTCGGGATCACAATCCCAATGTACTACTGGATCAGCGTGTGAATGACTTCTTATAGAAAACAGGGCTTAACAGGTTATAGCCCCAGATACCATTTTTAATTCGGTTCAACCGCCTTTACCTGGGGTTGAACTGGTATCTTGTGATCTGACCTGTGAAGTGCTAACCACTACACTATGAACCTACAGGTCTTTTTCTCACTCTTTATATATAATATATACTATATACAGTATATATATATATATATATATTTTAACCAGCTAGGCCTTGCCTAAATGCACTTTATTATTTTATTCATATATGTATTTTATGTATTATAGGAACTACTATTTATGAACAATTCTACATATCACTAGACTATATCAATTTTACTTCATATTGGCTTGTTGCTGTTAGCATCACTCCAGAAGAGTTGTGTTAAGGCTAATGTGCCAAAGCACTATTAGTGTTATCATTATATTCTATTTGGCACAGTGGGAATTTTAAGGAGAAGTTTGAATATAGAAAACTGGTGGTAGTACCTATTTTTGGTGAATAAAACCATTGCAAAGAAAATCCTTCTAAATTTGATCATCTGCAGATAGACATATCATTTAATTTCTATCTTTCTAGAGCTACTTAAGAACATTCAAGAAACTTATCTTATAGACTTACTGCCCATAGATTGTTTCAGCTATTGGTACTTACTGCTGTTTTGGCTGCTTTCTTGGGATAGGTAACTGTTGAAGTGATTTATTACTGAATTGAAATAAGGCCTTTCTGGAAATTTGCAGGAAGAGACACCAGATACCACAGAGGAAATGATCATCAAGTCATCTTTACTAAAAGCAGATATCTCATATATTTTACAACTTCCAGTGATCATTGTAACACCAACCAGATGATCATCATGCCATGACACCTTTTCTGGAAATCACAATCTCAACACACACTGGATCAGCATATAAAATGGCTTCTTATAAGAAACAGCGCTTATACAAATTATGGCACCAGATATCATATTAATTCTATTCAACTGCCCTCACATGGGGTTGAACTGGTATTTTATGATTTGACCTGTGGAGTATTAACCACTACACTACAGACCCACAGGTCTTTTATATATAATATTTTTTTTATAAGTAATAAACTATTTATAAATTCATTAGATACATCTATATTTTTATTTTGATTAATATAATTTATTAATTCTTGAACATGTTCAAAACTATTTTTATAACTAATAGGTGATATTTTTTCACTTTCAATATCTTCTTCATCTTTTTTATCTAATTCACTAATAATCTGTATTATATTTGGAATCTTTTAAAATTCTTGATTATTATCAATATTAATTAATTTAGCTGCATTAAGCTTATCAGTAAATAAATCAATAATTTCTAATAGATATGAATTAATTAAAATTTGAAATATTTTTTATTATTCTTATTGTTTGGAAAATTCAACTTCAGTATTAATATAAGTAATATTATTTTCAAGAAGAATTACTGTTTTTTGTCATGCATATTGAATAGTTTTAATAGTTACATTGTCCCATACTTGTACTGTAAATTAAATAGTATTAAAAATTGTAAATCATACTATTTCTAATACTTTCAAATTTAATACAATTGCATTTTCAAAAGCTACAACTTGATTGTAATATAATAATCAATGATAATTAGCCTTGAAACTATAAATGATCCTAGCATCACATGGTTGAAAATGTGTAGTGATATTAGAAGGAAGAAAATGTAAGATAATATGAATAAGAATAGTATTAGGCTTTAATTGATGTGATGTTACATTATTACATAACAAAATAATAGATCAGTTAATATGACACATTTTGTTGTTCAAATGTTTTATCCAATTATCAAAAATGCTAGTTACTATCTATCCTTTAGTATTTCAGTAATAATGAACTGGAGAGTTGATTTATCTATTTCTTTTAATGCTGCAGGAGTTTGATATTTATTAATAAAAACTGGAGATAATTTTTCACCATTAACACTAACTGCCAACATTATAATAACTTTATCTTTTGAAATTTTTTTTTCAACTTGTTGTATTCCACCTTTAGCTATGGTATGTTTTGGTTCTAATTTCCAGAATAATGCAGTTTTGTCATAATTGAAAATATTACTTTTATTTCAATTGGCCAAAACAGATCATAAATCATTACATATAGAAATTAAATCTAATTTAGCAGCTTCTTTCACCTTACCCAATCTTATTTGAGATTTTAAATTATTATATTTTTTGAATTTCTCCAACCATCCATTTGAAGCAGAAAAATCTGTAATTCTCATTATACTAGTTGTGTTTTGTACTTTCTCATGAATTATATTATCTGTTACTGTTATATTTGCTTAATTACAATTTTTAATAAAAATTGTCCAGACCTGTTCAAGACATGAATAAGCATAAGTTTTAATTCTTTTGAGTTTTGCTACTGGAGAAGTAAAGTCCAAATCAAGCCAATGATTAGCTTCTTTTAAAATATCTGACATACTATTTACACTTATTTCATAACAAAGGGCTAGTTCTTGCTAAGAGATATTTGAATTATTTTGAGACTCTTCATATAATCTTTTTTTTTCAAGACCAGTAAGTATCTTTCTTTTTGTTTTGTTTTTTTTGGACTTGATACCATATTTCATAATAGGTATGAAAAATACAGTAGTTATCAAAAATTTGTTACTTATACATTTTTATTATTACACTGTCAATTATTATTATTGTTACATTATTTATTACTATGAAAGAATTCTGAATTGAAAGAATTATAATAAAAAAGCAAAGACACTGTTTTCTTTAGCTTGATAAGTTTAAAAATAATTTTATTCTTTTGTACTATTATATATAATAACATATTATATAAGACTGCATATAGTACTATAGGTATTATCATTTAACTTTATTTAAAATAAACTTAAATATGTAACTGAAAAGAATCAATGTAAGATTGCTAATTAATTTTATAATTTCATATAATAATTTTCATATAATGATTTTATATTGCTGATTTTTTCTTCTAAGTATGATAGCTGTATCAATAGTAAGACCTTTACCTTGATTATCCTTTACAACTGATACTAGTTATGGAAAGAGGCTTCCAATGCCATGGTACTCAAATTACTGCATATTGTAAAGAGTATACTATTACTTAAATTACCAATACATCATGAGAAATACGCAGGTATGCAAAACACTACTTATTCTAAAACAATCAAACTTAGATTCCTAACAATGTGCTAGCATTGAAACAGATAATTTTATATATGGATAAATAGGAAGGGATATTTAATAAGTCATAAATAAAATTCTCAATCAAATTGCAAAAGAAATATATATATATATATATATATATATATATAACATCACCTATGTTCTGACCCATCTCAATCTATTTATAATAATTAACCTGGTATTTCGTGTAACTTTTCCAATTACTGTTAATATTAAGGTTCAACCTTTTCAATTGTTGAATTCCAATTCTTGATTAATTTACTTATGAATATCCAAGCACTTTGAATATCTTAATTTTTTTTTTGTGCTCTTATTAATATGATCCTTATCTATTTCTTCCACTTATTAATAATATCTGAATATATATGAAAACTTACTTTCTATAATGATAGTATAGTTAATTTACCTTTAAGAGTATACAAATAATGAAATATACATGTAAAAACTTACTTCTTATAATGATAGTAAAATTGATACCTTATTGATTTAATGGTATTTGAATATAATTTATATTTTGTACTGGATTTTCTTGATTTTCATATTGGCTGATTCATTCTACAAAAGTTGATTGTACCAGCTGGATATGTCTTTTCTGGTTATTATTGAATAGAGAAGTTATTGAATGAATATGTTGAAACTGATGGTTTGATCTTTTAGGTTTATTTGATAAGACCTTTAGTGTTATAGGATAATTGATTACAGCATTTAACTAGTTGATAGTAATTTATTAACAATGGAAATTGATATATTCTATGATATGTTATTTATGCCATGATTAGATTTTTTATCAGTGTTAATGTATTGTTAAGTAAGAAATGGAGATAAAAAATTCAGATTTTGAAAATTTGATTAAATATTTGGCTATATATTTGTATTATTAGTTTAAAGTATTAATCATTCAAGTGATTAGAAATGAAAGGACTATTCACAGGTGAGAAAAATATTTGATTTTGATTTTTGGTTCTGGGAAAACTATAGTTTGCATAATTATCATCAATATAGGCATTTGTTGAAGAATCCTAAAGTGACCATTTAGAAAAAAGATTTTAAATATTTTAATCGAAAGTGAAAAAGTTTTTATATAAGTCTGTTATTACAGTTTTGTATTGGTGGTTTCATACCATCATGCAATTTCTATTGGCATTATACAATCAAAGGAGGGTTTCATTTCTGATTGTAGTATTGATGATTTCATCCTATTCATATAATACTTGATTCTTTAGCTTCTCGAAATATAACAGTTTTGTGCAATTACTTACTATGTTTGAATGTTTTATATTTTTGCCAAGTTTCAAAATAGTTCTTATTTAGTACATGCTTAACAACTAACTTAGAACTAGTACAGATACTAAATATCAAAATGAAGAAATTCAACCAAGATCAGGCAAACAATGGAAATAACTATAATTCTCTTAAAATAGCCAAATGCCTCATTATTTAATTGATAATGTGCATAAATGGATTAACAATATTCTTACTGTTCTAACCTATTATTTAGTGAAACTACAGTCATGAAAATGGACTTGACAAAATTAGCAGAAAAAGAAGACCTGTTAAGCTTGACTTTAGTTTAAAATTGTGAAAAGACAGAGATGTAGAATAAGTAGGAGGGACAATCCAATAGTGAAATATCACTATCTTTTATTATTTTTTTTTTACTTATTCAATTAAGCAAATTTGGGTTTTATTATTTATCTTTTAGCATTAAGGTTACTTTGGTGGCTGATTTGTATTGAAGACATTATCAGATAGGAAGTTTGGCTAGTAACACATCTGTTAAAAGATAACACAGGTGTCTTAAGGGGATCTATTGAGAACAGAAATCTCATGTAGAACAAAAGAGTAAAAGTTCTCCTGATTTTAATTTTCAATATAAATACAAATCATGAAAGTGTGACTTATTGATCCTTTAGATCTTCGAAATTTAAGACTAGAGGTATCAGAAAAGTTATTACAGGAATAGCTAGCCAAGCATTCATAGCAATATTGCTTTTTGATTCTTTGATGTTAGCTCTTCTTATTATACTGAAGCAGAATTCAGTAAGCATTGGTTGTTTACTCATTAATAGGGAACATAAGCTGAGTTTGGACTATTATAAAACAGGTTAATTTTACTTTACTGATGAAGTTTTGTTGTAATAGTAATTTAACTTAGTATGAGAGGAACTGTTGATTCAATTAATTGGTATCTTCACCTATTCAAAAGAGTAATGGCATGAAACTACCAATTGCTAAATTATGGCTGAATACCTCTAAGTTAAAATACATACTCATTTCATCATTTTTCAGGAATTGTAAGAATTTGATATGATCTATAGTTTGATAAACAGTAGTAAATATATGCCTAATCAGGTAAAGGCAATGCATGTGCATTGTTACTAGAACATGATGATTCTTACTTGTACTATATTTAGTTGGATAAAAATATTGCGAAAAGGTATGGTTTTCCTATCCTTGGATCATAATTTCAAATATTTATATAAATAAATCCTTTGCAAACAACTTGAATAAGAAACAAGATATTGTAAATATCTTATAATTTTATTTTAGTTGGTTCTAGCCAGTAAAGAAATAATATGCACTAACTTAAAAGTACATCATGGGGATTTTAATCAGTTTTGAGTAAAAGAAGGTGATATCGCATTTGCATAAGGAAGGTGGCATCATAATAAAGGCAATTATGTAAATGATTTGGTCAATAATATTGCAATTAGTGACAAACAGACAAACAGACATTATAATCTTAGAATTTTGTTATTGAAAAAATTTTTATTGATTATAGATTTCAATTTTTTATTGGTTATATCGATTTAAAGAAATAAATTTATTAGTGTTAATTTTTTTCATACTGTGATCAAAATCCGTTTGATCCGTATCTGAGTGGTAGTTTTTAGAAGGAATTAGAGATTATATAGAACAGTCCGTCGTTCCAGAGATAATCTCTCACAA